CCAAGGGCCACCCTCAACAGGTCCACGACAGCTCACTGCTTCTCTCCCCACCCACTCCCCCAAGGGCTCACTTGTGCGCAGCCCCAAATCACCATCTGGGCCCAGGCCTGGCTGGCACCCAGGGCTCACCCAGTTCTTGCCACGAGGCAGTGGGCGGAGGAAGGAAGAGGGGGTGTGTGCAGATGGGGACAGCAGCCTCTGCCCCACAGCCTCCATCCCAAGGCCAGGCAGCCTTTGGAGGGCTGCTGTCAGCAGCCTCGCCCCCCAGGGAAGCAGGCAATGGGACGGGCCAGTGGGGGGGGGGGGGGGGGGGGGGGGGGGGGTGGTGTGAAACATCAACTCCCACTTGCAGGGCTCCGCCCTCTGAAGAACCAACCGGAGGCTTTCCTTGAGCTGTCCCAACTGCCTATGCCAGCAAGCATCCCCCCACCCCCAGCTCCTTCTTTGCACCATCATGGCCCTAAACTTGCCCTTCAGGTCTCAGCCCAAAGAGTGCCCCCTCCTCCAGGAAGCTCTCTGCACCCTGCCTGAGCCTGGGGCCTAAGAGTCGGACCCCCAGGACCTCCCTCCCTCCACTACACCGCCCCGTGATTCCTGATGCACCTGCTGGCTGGGCCAGATGGGAGCTCCATAAGCAAGAAACTGCGTCCCTGTGTCCGTGGCCACACCTGTACCTGGCACAGACCGCAGCCTAATTAGGGCTTGCTGAATACATACAGCCAGCTACACGACCATCCCCCACACCCAGGCCCACTCACACCCCATAAGCAAACAGGTTCCTGGGTCAGAAGGACAGGGCAGCTTTCGGAGCCCCAGGGGCTCCGGGACAGGCAAGCCCTTCCTGGAAGGGCACATCGTGGCGAGGCCCTGACCCCTGCTCTCTCCGCAACCTTCCCTGCAACCCAGCCCACACCTCAGCTTTGTGCTATCAGGGGCCAGGCCCCAACTCGGCTGCTGGCGTGCACAGGAGGCGGGGGGGGGGCGGTTTACTTTGCCATGCCTCTCAGTGTCCCCCACCCACTGGAGCCCTTGTGGCCAGTGGCTGAGTTCCCTGCCCCACCAAGCTTCCTGCACCTCGGGATAGCTGGGAGGGCATCCCCTCAGGCCTCGGGGATAGAACTAATCCAACAAGCACCATCATGTGTCCCGGGGCGGGACTCTTCGGGGAGCCTTAAGAGGAAGGGCACCAAAGTCCCCTGAGACACAGATGGAGACAAGCACTTCCTCTTGCAACCATGTCCCCGCAGCCAGCCGTGTGGGGGCTGCAGGCCTGAACACAGGGCAAGAGAACACAGAGCACGCGTTCTGTCATCCGCTGGCAGTGGCCGTCACCAGTGCCAGGCTCCGACGCCTGGAGGCCCGGCCCAGGCCAGCATGCACTGTGAGCAGAGGCAAGGGAGGATGGCAGCCTCCTCTGCTGCCCCGCCCGTCCCTCCACACACCGCAGCACATGCGGGTGGGTGGGACTGGCTCAGCTATAGGAAGAGGGTGAAGGAAGGACGGGACCTTCCTGCTGCTCCACCCACCCAACCCCAACACACAGGCCATCCCACCCGCCACAGCAACAGGATGTGCGAGGGGCTGAGGCTCTCCAGAGGTCCTCCCCAACCTCCCCCCAGGCAGACCAGACTGGCTCCCGGGGTGGGGGCTGGAAATCAGCTGAGGCCATTCCAAACAGCCCCAACCTGCTCCAGAGGGCAGGAGCATGGGTGGAGAGAGTAGACGGGGCCCAGGAATGTGGCCCGCTCAGCACAGCCAGGACTGAAAGAGGCCAGACCATGGGACAGAAGGTCTTCTTCTCAAATGCTGGGATGGGGGCAGGGAGAGGGCCACGAGCAGGGGTCCAGCCCCTCCTCCCTGGTAGACCAGCTGCCTGGTCAGATCAAGAGTGTCTTCTGCTCCCGAAGACACACCCTGGCGCTAGCCACGCTGTGTGAGATCAGCTGACTGCTCTCAGGGACCTCTGAGGCCAGAAGCTGGGCACGGACCATCTGTCTGGCCCCCACAGTGTCCCCAGGGTGCAGGTGCTAAACCCATGTCCTCAGTGAAGGAGCTCCGACTCACCAAGGGAGGGGTCTGCACTCTGAAAGGAGGGGTTCCGTCCAGCCCCCTCCCCATCCTCCTGCTTACAGAGATCCACCAGGTGGCAACCATAAAAGCAGATGCTCCCTCAGGCGGGACCCCTGCATCCAGGCCCTGCATCCACCAACTCCAAATGGGATGTCTAGATCCAGGCCAAGGACAAGACATCCACCACTGCTATCCTCGCCACTGAACCCAGGAGACCCTGCGTCCCTGCCCTGATGTCCTGGGCCTGCCAGCACACAGGTTCCTATACCTCCAGCAGAAGTGCCCACTGTGCCGATGCCTATGGGTGCGCACACACCTGCTGCTCATCATTAATAAGGCATCCATCATTTCCTGGAACTTCACACTTGTGTCCACCACCTCATGCTCGTGGAAGCCTGGGAGGTCTATGTGACTCATTCCAACTCCAGATGAAAACACCGAGGTGCAGAGAGCTGGGAGACTGGCGTGAGGTCAAGGGCTACGAAGTGGCAAAGCAGGTACCACTGACTTCCCCCCCCCCCCCCCCCGCCTCCTCCCAGCAGTACTCCTACCACCTGACTCTGCCCTCAGGTCTACAGCCAGGGTCCCAGGCTGTGGGCTGATTTTTCCCAGCGATGCACCAGTCCTGCCAACAGAGGCCCTGAGGCTGGTTGGCCAGCCAGCAACTGACCAGCTCCCGCACGGAAGGCAGTGGTTTGGTAGCTCCATGGCCCCCACCCCTCCTGCAGTGGACAGCTTGGGAATCCCTCCTTCCTGACACTCAGGGTGAGCAGGAATTATGGGTTCCAGCCGTCTCCCCTGTCTTCATCAGAGACCACAGGTGCCAGGGGTGCCGAGTGTCACAGCCAGCTTGTCATGCCACCTCTCCCCTCCCTAATTCACCTGCCACCACCTGGCCTCTGTCCGCAGTATCTGCCTCCCCAGACCCTTCACACACCCCTCTCCGCACTGTCAGCTTCCAAGCCCACTCTGTTCATGTAGCTCCTGCCCTGGCACCCAGCCCAGGGCCCCTCACACTGGGGCAGCCCCTTGGCCAGCTTTGTTTCCCTGGATCCCATGCACCCCTGTGCTCCAGCTGGCATGGCCTCCTCACTGCCCCCCACGTGCACCTCGGAACAGACAGTTCTCTCCCTGTGGGCCTGTACAACACTGACAGCGAGTCTGACGCGTGCAGACTGGGAGATGAAGACAACTGGCTCTTGCCTGCAAAAACTCCCTCTCTGAAGGAAGACACGCTCACGACTGAGGGTGTCAGGGGACGGATCCTTGGACAGACAGGAGCAGAGAAGAGGAGCGAAGACTGAAAGAGCACTGAGGAAGGTCTGGAGTGTGCGGGGTCCAGCAGGTAGTCTCAGCAAGAAGCAGAGAAAAGTCTGGGTCCTGGGTGATGACACTGGCAACTGGGCTGATGAGAAGCAGCACAGATTGGGGGGCTCAACCCCACCTTCAGTCTCAAGGGTAAGCCCCACTGACTACACAAGCCTCCCCTGATGACATGCACCGTCCCCTCGTTGGGATTTGAGCCCACAGCTTCATTCTGGGTTAGCCTCTGTGGGGGCTCAGACCAGGCGATCAGCCTCTCGCCTGACTCCCCTTTTGAATGAAGGGAAGAGCAAGGAAACCTTGGTGGGCTGCTCGGAGGAAGAAATGAGATCACGCACACACAAAGGGCTGTGCAGGGCCTGGCACACAGAGCGCACTCCCCAAGCCACTGTCTCCATGGCTGTTGCTGATGTCATTGTCAGGCTCCGTTTTCTCCTACCCCCTTGGGCTGAAGGGCTCTCAGACACAGGCAGTGACCCGAGGCATGGACCTCCTGGACATCGGCACCAGTCACCACAACGATCCCCCACCCAGGGCTTGGCTTGCAGACATGAGGACCGCAGGCCTTCTGCCAGGAATGCTCTTCACTCTCTCCTCCTCACATCGCCTCCTGAAGTTCTCCCAGTTACGGCTCAAACACCACCTCTCCATGAAGTACTCCTTAAATCCCAGCCCTCTTCTGCATCCCACCAAGCCTCCCTGACCTGAGACATCCCACACGGGCGGGGCGGAGGCTTCAGACCAGAGGCACTGGGGGTCAGAGAAGGGGCTCGCAAGCGAAGGATCCGTGCTCCTGGAGGCAGAGCCACCCGGCGGTCGGCCAAGGCAGAGAGGGCCCATCCCACCCAACTGGGAGAGGGGAGGCCGAGCCGAGGGCCCTCCCACCTCCCCGGCCCACGCCAAAGCTCTGCCTGACCCGGTTCTGCCCTGAGTGCGGTGGGCAGGTTCGGCTCGCCATGTCGCACTGCCCTGCTCTCCTCAGGGCGGCCGCTCCTCCCTGACCCCGGTCCCCAGCCTGGCAGGTGCCCCAGACGACCCTCGCGCTGGCGCGACGGCCGCGGCCCGCCCGCCTCGCATGTCCCCGCGACTGCCCCGGCGCACCTGTCCCGCCGCCCCGGCTGACCCTTCTCGGTCCCCAGGCTCCGGCCCTCCGCCGTCAGCCATCGGCCGCGGGCCCGGCACTCACCGCGCGGGTGCGGCCCGAACGCCACCAGCACGAAGTAGTCCGCGAGCCGCGCCATGGCGAGGGGCGCGGGCGGGCTCCGCGGCTCGGGGACGCGAGGGTGGCGCGCTCATGGCCCGGCCCCGGCCCTGGCCCGCACTCCCCGGACACCCTGGGCCCGCTCCGCGGCGGCGGCCAGGGCTCCCGCCGCCATCTTCCCAGCCAGCCGGCCCGCCCGGCCGCGCCGTGCGCCTGCGCGGCCTCGCCCCGCCCCCCAGTCATGGGCGGGGCTCGTAACTACGAACTCCCATTGGCCCAGTCGGCGCGGGCTCGGTTCCCGGGGGCGGGACCCCGCCCAGCACCGCCCACACGGGGCCTGGGCACCGCCCCCCGGGTGCTGACAGCGACGGCGGCTCGCGCGGGTCAACGGCAGATGCGGCCCCGGTCGCAGCTGGTCCGGGAGCTCACGGCTCCTACGCCGGGGCGGAGAGGGGCCGGGTTTCGCTCCAGCGAGCTCCCGAGGCTTCCGCTGCACCCCGGGGCTGTCAGTTTGGAGGAAGGCAGAAGGGCCCAACCCTGCCCTCCGGCCTCCCTGGTCCCTTCAGGGGCTGCTAGCCTGGCGACTGCCGGGGGAGAGCTCAGGGCTTGCACTTGGCGTTCGCGGCCCTTGGATGGCTCGGGCCCCACCTGGAAGCCCCACCTAGCTGGGATGAGACACTGAACACAAGTCCTTTAAAAAGTTGCGCTGGCCGTCCCGCTGTGAAGAGCCACGTCCTAAGCCGTGAGCGCTGGAGGCCGCCCTGGTGCCTGGGAGAAGACTGCACCCAGCAGAGTCCCCGACAGTGCCCACCACCCACAAGGACCAGGGCTGTGCAGGGCCCTCCCGCGGTGCCACAGGGATGGGCAAGGGGGACACGGGGTCTACGGCCGGACAGGCGAGGAGAGGAGCTGCAGAGGTGGAGAGAGTGAGCTGGCAGGACTGGGCTTGTTTTCAGATGCTTGGCTGCGCCAGAACCTATGAAGGAACGAACGAACTGCTGGCATCCGTATTCCACTCCCTTGCAGGAGCCGGCTGGAGAATGAATGAAATTCAACCCAGCGACAAGAACTGAGAGACCCTACCAGGGGTACCCTGTCCCCGGCGCCCCTCCTGGGGCACAGGCCCAGTCACACCCTCCTCTGCTCCTGTCTGGTACTGGGTACATAGGCTGAGAAGTCCTTCTTTTGGTCCCGGCTGGTTTCCATCACGTATACCCAAAAAGACCCTCGTTACCGCAGGACCACACCGTTGAGCTCTGCGTAGGGTGGACAGGCAGGGTCCCTGGCAAGTCCTCTGGCCCCTAAGCCCAGGGCTGGCTGTCCCTCAGACGCTGTGGAGACCCTTCGCCCCACCCTCATGCCCTAAGGAGCCCACTCCTTGCAGCCCTCTCAGAGACGCCTCAGGGTCAAGCGTAGGTTTAGGGTCCTTCTAGACCATGACACCCCCACCACTGAGCTTCTCACCATTGGGTCTCCTGACCACTGCATTGTCCGGGTCGCCGTCAGAGGTGCTTGCTTCTGCCTGCTTCCCCCTCCTCCGGAGAATTGTGCTCGCTCTCTCGCCTCCTGTCTCCACAGCAGAGTCAACCTCCTTATAGGGAGTGACTCTCTCTGGCTTCCTCCTTTCCTCCTCTTACCCCCACCCAATGTGACTCCCATTGCCTGTCATCTTGCCCATGTCCTCATCAGCCCACTGTCCCCGCCTGGCAAACCTCAGCCACTCACAGTCCTGCACCGCCATATAGTGCAGAGTGGCCGTGATGACCCCATGGTCCAACTGCAGATGGACATTCTCCCCTTGCCCAGCCTGCTGATGTCTGGTCAGTCTCTGATCCCACCTGCTGTGTCTCAGAGATGACCGCACCGGCCCTCCTTCACAGAGGAAACAAAGCCATCAGATGGAAGGCCTTGTGTTGCATTGCCCCCAAGTTGCCCCCCACCACTTGCTGTTCCCTATCAATGCCCCCTATTCTCAATCTTTTTCTCCCTACGGATCCTGGACATCAGGGTTAAACTCAATCTCCCCACCTTTTCTTCTTTTTAATTTTTTAAATGTTTTATTTATTTTTGAGAGAGAGACAGAGTGCGGGCAGGGGAAGGGCATAGAGAGAGGGAGACACAGAATCTGCAGCAGGCTCCAGACCCTGAGCTGTCAGCACAGAACCCGAAGCAGGGCTCAAACTCATGAACCATGAGATCATGACCTGAGCCGAAGTCGGACACTCATCCGACCGAGCCACCGAGCTTGCACCCTAGCTTTTCTTGCCCCACACAGATTTCTTCATTAGAGAGTCCTTACAACATTCACCAGCACCACATGCCTCCTGTGGCCCAGTCTCTGCTCACCAGGGAAGCCCTTCGGTTTCTCCTTGGAGGGCACGTGGACAGTTACAGACAATAGTACCATGAGGTGTGCTATAGAGGGGTCTGTGGGATCGTGGAGGGGGCCTCTCATCCAGTCGGGAGGGACAGGGGCAAAATAAGCAGGTAGACTGAGACCTGAGGGCCAGAGGACACGCCATCCACCTGTGGGGTTTGGGGAGGTAGAACCCCAGGCCCAGGAACGCAGCGAGCCATGGCCTGTGAACTTCACTGAGGTCTCCCTCCACTTTCCCAGATTAAAAATCTTGTGGAGACAAAGAAGTTTGATTTAATTTTTCTTTATCGGAAGGGTGAGTGATGTGATCACCTTTGAGTTTTGGAAAGATGGCCCTGGAATCAGTGTGCCAGACAGATTGGGGGGAGGGGCTGGCAAGAGGAGAAGCCGCTGCAGAGCCGCCGCCCCGGGGGCCTCTGCCCACCCCTTCCCCGGCTGTTCCTCCAGAGCTGGCATGCGGCTTCTGTCCCCTCTCTTCACTCCCTGTGGACAGAGCTCACCATACCTCTCACCTCCCAGAGCCTTGCCATCTATGAAACCCCAGAACTGTGTTCCAGGTCTGCCCTCTCTTCAGCCCAGACCCATGAGGCCAGACGGCAGCCGGACACCTCTGCCAGGATGACCTCAGGGAGCCAACCCCTACCCTCTCTCTAGGGGCTCCTGCATCAGCAAACAGAACGGTTGACGCTCCTCACCTGCCCTCCAGTGACACTCCTTTCTCTCTGACCCGGCTGCTCTGCCCCACACACCCCTCCTGCTATGCAGCATTTTTCTAAGATAAATATGATGGCATCACTCTCCTCCCCCAGCTGGTAAAAATAAACAAATAGAAACCAGAATAACTGCTGATGCCTCCCTACCTTCCTCAGGACGTGAAACAAGCTCTTTCATATGGCATGTGTTCAACACTTGTTGATTTATTCATCCAGCAAATGTTTATTGAGCTCCCATGGTGTGCACAGCAGGGGGAACAGAGAGTGACCAGGTCATCCGTGATGACTTTACAGAGGGAGCTGGACTGGGGCAGCCAAGACAGAAGAGGAAATGTGACGGACACAGAGATGCTCAGATGATCAAAGAAACATCTGGGGTGGGGATGATGGGGTGATTATCCCTTCTCAGACTGACAAAGACACCAAGACCTGCTAACGTCAAATCCATTATCGGTTGACAGTGGACTGGCACAGGCTTCGTGGGGAGGAAGTCGGCAACGTCTGTCAGCACAAACACAGGTTCACCTGCAACCAGAATTTCCACTTCTAGGAAAGTATCCTTCACGGACACTTTTGTGAGCTCACAACAGAAGGGTTCTTACTCTTGGAAAGACTGGAAATGGCCTGATTGCTCATTAATAAAAATCAGTTAAGTAGTTACAGAGCACCTACGTATTGGAGTAGGGCCAACCGTAGGAGAGAATGGAGGTCTCGGGGTGCCTGGGTGGCTCAGTTGGTTAAGCGTCTGACTTCAGCTCAGGTCATGATCTCACAGTTTGTGAGTTCGAGCCCCGCGTCGGGTTCTGTGCTGACAGCTCGGGACCTGGAGCCTGCTTCAGTTTCTGTGTCTCCCCCTGCTCATGCTTTCTCAAAAATAAATAAAACATTAAAAAAAAAAAAAAAAGAATGGAGGTCTCTCTGTTTACATATATTTTCACTCACACGTGCATGCGTAATACACACACACTACCACCTGCCCCCAGCTAAATGTACTAGCATACATAAGAGAAAGTCGGGAATGGGATGCCCACCCAGAAGAATCCATAGTGGATGGCGATGCAAGGGTCTCACGTTGTACTTAAACTTCTTACAAAAACCGTTCAGGACTTCGGTAGTGTGGAAAAAGAGGGTAGAGATTCTCCAGAACACAGCTGCGAGGGGATCTTGAGGAAGGGTCTCCAAATCAGCTTTGTGAGGAACTGAATATCTAGCCTGCGTTCTCCAGCTGTGATTCTGGCCAGGCTCCCAGGCCACTCATCAGGGCAGACATTTGAGGAGCCGACCCTCGGGACCAGGAGGCGGTGGGTGGCTGGCTGACTGCACCCCTACCGCCCACTCCTAGAAGACTGCCAGGCTCCAGGACAGTGTCCCCCACCAGAAGGCACCAGAGATGAGGCTGGTGGCCGCTGGGGTCCCTGGCCAGTCGCTGAGCACTTCCCAGTGGGATGGGGCCCCTGTCAGGCTAGGCAGGAGCGGGGAGCAGGACGGCGGCCGGGCTCCCGCCCCTCTGGGGCATCCGGCTCCGCCTCCTCCTGGAAAGACTATTTAGATCTGGTGATGCGGAGGCCAGGTCTCCGGCAGGACCCACAGACGGCAAACTGGCCGAGGAGGTCCTCCACCTGCCAGGTGCCCTCTGCCCAGCCAACAGACAGCAACCCCCGGGCCCGCTTCTCGCCTGAGACCCTCTCGCCGACAGACACAGGTACAAGCTCGGCTGTGTCCACGCCGCCTGCACCCCTCATCACCGGGGCTTGCCAATGTGCCGGGCTTAGGGGTGGCTGGCGGTGAGGACTGCCCCCCCACACCTACCTGGCTCACACTCCTTCCAGCCCCGCCCCCATGGCCCGGCCCCTGCCGGTCACATTCGGTTGCATCAGCCTGCTCTGCCTGCTGCTCCCAGGCACACTGTCCCGCGGCCTGGGCGGGAGCCAATGGCCTGCCCCACCTAGGTGAGTGGGGTTCACACCAGCCCAAACCTCGGGGCCTACGGGGAAGGAAACCAGAATCCCTGGGGAGGCCCCCCTCGATCTCCCTCTCCCTGGACCCCCCCCCCCGACTCTTCCTGCAGTAGGGAAATCACCCCCTGCCCCCTAAGTGAGAAGCCAGCAAATGGGCCTTCAGCAAATCCTGAGCAGGGCAAGGGACCCCTCTTTCTTGGCCTCCCTCCCAGGGCACTCCCCTCCCCTATGAGTAGAGGAACCACTTCGAGGAGAGGTTGGCTAGGAGAGGGGAGGCTGGAGGGATCCCCAGGATTGCCCACCTTCCTCCACCCCCAGGGGAAGGCTGGGGGGGGGTCACTCGGGTCGTGAGCACGGTGACCCACAGAGTCCAGGGGTGCCCTTTGCCCAGGTAAATGGACACGTGGCCCGGGCTACTGAGATGGCTGAGAGCCAGGACCCAAGCCCAGAGCTCACAAGGGGCGGTGGGCTTCCCCTGGTCTGCTGGATAATGACGTGGGGGCTGCGGGCTTCCCCTGGCAGTGCTCCAGGCTGTTGGGGAAATTGGGCTTCCCCTGCCAGTGACCCCAGGCCTGTGTGGAGGGGAAATTGGGTGCTTTTGGAGGGTCCCTAAAAGGTTTGGCCATCAGGTTTACTTCCCCCAACCCCCTCTGCAGGGAGCCTCCAGCCTGGGCCCCTTCCGGTGGCCTGAAACCGGGACACCCTGCCATTCAGCCTGTGGTTTGGAAGCTACACCAGGCCCTCCAGCCACAGAGGAGCGCCAACCGAGCCCCTGCCATGGGTCGCCCTCTCCGGGGTGGCCCCCACCGACACGTGGGCCCCCGCAGGTCCCGAGCCCAGCTCCTGAGGGTGGGCTGTGTGCTGGGCACCTGCCAGGTGCACAACCTCGGCCACCGCCTATGGCAGCTGGTTGGGTCAGCTGGCCCACGGGACTCAGCCCCCGTGGACCCCAGCAGCCCCCACAGCTACGGCTGAGATGGAGCAGGACAGACCTCTGTCTGTCCCGGCCAGGATGCCACCCCCCAACCCAGTCCCAAAGCTGCACCTGGGCCCCCCTGCCCCCACCCGGCCCCGCGGACTTCCTACAAACACCAATAACCAGAACAGTGTGCAGGCCCCCAAGGCTACTCCCGCCCCACCCCACACCCACCTGGTCCTGTAGCAAGCAACCTTGACCGGTTTTGGACAAGGAAGGCCGTGCACATGTGTCGACCCCAGCAGGTCTGCAGGCAGAGTCTGGACTCATGAAAGGGGCTTCAGAGGGGAGGGGCAGCCCAAGGATGTGGGGCAGGATACCCAGGGCCACGCTGGGCCAGCACAAGGTGGGCCAGTGTGGCCCCTTCCCCGCTGGTCCGGAGTCATCAGATTAGGCCCTGGCTTTGGGCACGCGCACTTGGCCTGTCCCAGGTGCCCAGCCTTTCCATTCCCTGTGCCCTGGAGACTGGGAGGGCAGCAGGAAGGAGGACCCCCTGTGGTCCCCATCCCCAGAGCCTGAGTGAGAGAGGACAGGCCATGTCAAAGTGGAGACCTCCCCCCCCCCCGCACCCCCTCCCCCTGCAGCTGGATAGCAGGGAGCCTGGGAAAAGGCCTAGAGATTCAGGAACCACACTGGGGCTGAGCAGATGCCCCTTCCCATCCCTCTGGGCGGGGTGGGGCTGGGTGGGGCAAGATCTCCAGCCCAGATAGGCCCAGTCAGAACCATTCCACCTCAGGTGGGGTGGGGTAGTCCAACAAGGGTGGGGGCGCCACAGGCTATACAATCTCCCCGGCCCCACCCTGCCCTGCTCTGGGATTTACTGGGGCAAACTGGTGGACAGCAGGAGGCTGGAGCCGGCTCGCCTAGAGTTGGGGAAGGTGGATTGTCCTTCAAGGCTTAGAAAAAGGTCTTCAGCCAGTTCCCGGTGTAGGTCCACCCCGGGTAGGGCCTTTACATGCTGTGATACCTGAGACTTTGCTAGTCCCTCATTACTGACACCCCCATGCCATCGGGACATGACCCAAGGTTCAGAAAGGAAGTTTCCATTACTTGGCATACACTCATAATGGCACTTACTCTGTCAACATTTGCCCTCGTCTCCTTCTCAGCCACCCTGTGGGGGGAGTGCTATCATTATCCCGTCTCTAGAAGCAGAAACTGCAGCCACAGAGGTCGGGGAAGTGCCTACTGTCACCGCAGTGCCCTCCCACAGAACCCCTCAGATGCCCTGCCCCCCCCCCCCCCCATTCCCACCCCTGAGGGTGGGAGCATTTCCAGGACACCATTAGGCCCTGTGGAGACAGTTCAGGCTGGTCCCTGCCCTGAATTGCGGGTGGGAAGCAGATCAGGGCAGGCTGCCTGGAGGAAGCCTAGGTCTGAGGATTGCAAGGCTCCCAGGAGAGCCGAGGGTGGAGTCCACAGGAGGCATGAGTATGGCCGGGGAAGCCCCCTCACCCCTACTCCCAAAGCAGCTGAGAGAGGCTGGAACCAGCGTGAGTGGGGGTGGAAGAGGCCAGTGGGCCGGGCCTCAGAGCCATATGCCTGTGGTCCCTGAAGGGTGTCATCAGAGCAGGCAGGGGTCGCAGGGCCGGGAAGACTGGGGAGAGAAGAGAAGGGGTCTAGGAGGGTCAAATTGGGAGAGTTAGGAGCTCCACTTGGCCGAGACCGCCCCGCCCCCGGCCGCCCCAGGCTTCCCATACTGGGCCTGTGTGTTGTCTGGTCCTCTGTACAAGCTGTTCCTCTGCCAAGGACACCCCCACATTGCCCCTTCCTCACTGGTCAGAGCTGCCAGACCCCCAGAATTCCATGCCCTTGTTGAGGAACTGCGCCAGTTTGGGGTTCATTTTCCTCGAAGCAGGATGGACTGTTGACCTCAAGGCATCCCTGTGCCGGGCCATGTGGTCGCAGCATTGCACCTGGCATCCACCTGGCCCCTGAGCTCCAGGCCATGTCTGGGCCACCTACATGATGCTCCCTGATGCCAAGCTCACCCGACTCCCGCCGGCCTTCTCCTCTCTCTCCCTCACGCAAATCCTGTCGGCTGGTCATTTGCTCCTTTGTCTAGTCCAAGCCGCCACCTGCTTTTGGGGTGATGGCTCCAGCCACCTCCCTGGACCCTCCCTCCATTCCTTCAGCAAATGCTTGCTGAGCATGTGAGAGAAGCATTAGTGAATACCCCCTCCCAACTGACACCATAGTGGAAGGAGACGGTGAAATGGACACTTTGCCATTTCAAATGGGGGGCCCCAGCACTCTCTCCCCGTCTATTCTCAGCACTGGCAGGAGGAGGCCATCATCATAAGAACAGCACACCCCACCCAAACGTCTTGTCTCTGAAGCTGAGTGGGTGCTGAGACCCACACGCCCGAGGGGGGGGTGGTGTAGACTGACACCTTGACACCTTCGTCCCCTGTCCTCTCTCTCTCTGCCCCCAGATGACCCGACCATACTCAGCATCCCCCCCACCCCCACCCCCCATCTTCCTCAAGTGCACCGGCCTTTCCAATATGAGACAATGGTTGGTTTTGCGGTGTCTGCCTCCTACTTGGAGAACCTGTCAGCTCCCGGGCAGGCATATTGATCAGTTGGGTCCTGGCTATGTCTGCCTGACCTGGTCCATGCCTGATGAGTGCTAGCTGAATTCATCTCTACCCTGACTCCGGATGGAGCCCCTCACCTCAAAAGCCAGACAAAGATCACCACCACCCCCGTCTTGACCAAC